GCAGAGAAGAAGGATTGGAAGAATATTTGTATATTCATTGATTGATCTGAACAGTATACAAAACACCTATTTTATACAACGAAGGAAAAATTCTAGAAGCTTAAAATAACAAACTCAGCTAAGAAATTCTAACAGAATCAATGAGTCAGCCACTCTAACAGAATGGTGCACAACACTATACACGTCAGCTACAGCTACTACATTCTAGAAGCTAAGAAATAAAAATACAATAAAAAACTTATATTCCTAATACTCCCCTTCAAGATGGAGAATAAATATTTGAAATTCCCATCTTGGAAAGGAGAACACTAAATTGTGCAGGAAAAAGAGGCTTTGTCAATATATCTGCCAATTGACTTTTTGTGCTAACATGGAGAGTCTTAACATCACCTTTGAGAACTTTCTCCCTTACCAAATGACAATCAATTTCAATGTGTTTTGTCCTTTCATGAAAAACAGAATTTTCTGCTATGTGTAAAGCAGCCTTATTGTCACAAAACAGCAAATCAGGTTTCTCATGTTTCAAATTCAAATCATCCAGTAAAGAATTAATCCAAGTTAACTCACAGCAAACATTGGCCATTGCTCTATATTCTGCTTATGCAGAAGATCTTGAAATTGTAGCTTGTTTCTTAGACCTCCATGACACCAAGGATTCTCCAATGAATACTGCATAACCCGTGACAGACTTCCTTGTATCAGGGCATGATGCCCAATCTGAATCCGCAAATGCCTTGAGTTTCACAATATTTTCAGAGCCATAGAACAGCCCCTGTCCAACTGTTCCTTTAATGTACTGCAGTAGTCTGTTTGCAGCCTGCATGTGTGGCTCCCTGGGATGAGCAAGGAATTGGCTTAATTTGTTGACAGTGAAACAAATGTCTGGCCTAGTGATTGTCAAGTATAATAATCTGCCAATTAACCTTCTATATGATGCTGGGTCATCTAATAATTTCCCTTCTTCTAAGGAGAGCTTTCCATTAGGTTCCATAGGTGTAGATCTTGGTTTGCAGCCCATAAAACCAGAATCAGACAAGATCTTCAAAGCATAACCTCTTTGATTCAGTGATATTCCTTTAGAATTCCTTGCTACTTCAATACCAAGGAAAAATTTTAATTCTCCAAGATCCTTAAGCTTAAAAAACTGATTTAGGAGAAACTTCAGATCATCAATTTTGGCCCCATCATTACCAGCCACAATGATGTCATCAACATACACCAAAAGAGCCAAAAATTTTCCATCGTGTGTTTTAACAAACAAAGAAGAATCAGCTGTTGACTGTTTAAAACCATGTGAAATTAAAACAGAGGAGAATTTCAAAAACCACTGTCTGGATGCTTGTTTTAGACCATAAATAGACTTGTGTAACTTACAAACCAGAGTGGAAGATGAAGACTCCCCTTCACGATGAAAGCCAAGTGGAGGCCGCATGTAAACTTCCTCTGAAAGCTCTCCATGGAGGAAAGCATTGTTGATGTCCAGATGATGGAGAGCCCAACCCGAAATTGCAGCCAAGGCAAGTAAAATTCTGACAGAGCCAATCTTAGCCACTGGAGAAAAAGTTTCAAAAAAATCTATGCCCTCTTGTTGGGTGAAACCTTGGGCAACCAAACGAGCCTTATACCTTTCCAAAGTACCATCCGCATGAAGTTTGCATTTATAAACCCATTTACAGCCAATAGCCCTCTTACCATGGGGTAAAGGGACAAGGGACCAAGTACCATTTGATTCCAAAGCATCCAATTCAAGTTTCATGGCCTGCTGCCAGTGAGGATTTTTAGAAGCTTCATGAAAGGTTGAGGGTTCAATGTGAAGAGAAGCTGAGTTAATGAAAGTCTTAAAAGAAGGGGATAAATGGTTGTATGATAGGACAGTGGATAAAGGGTATGTATTGGTGGAAACAGCAGAGCAAACGAAGTCTTGTAAATAAGGGGGTGGTTTGGTAGGTCTAGAGGGACGATGGGATTGTAGAGGTTGGAATGTGTGAGTGGGAAGAACAGAATCAGAGAGAAAATGTGGGTGATCAAGGGTAGGCTTATTGATAAAAGGGAAGATATCCTCATGAAAAACAAGGTCTCTAGTGATAAGAACCTTATTTGTGGCAGGATCCAAAACTTTGTAGGCTTTGTAACCGGGGGGTACCCAAGAAAAATCACAGGAACAACCCTTGGAGAGAATTTATGTCTATCCTTGGGTAGAGTGGATGCAAAACAGAGACAACCAAAAGACCTGAGATGAGAGTAAGATGGATCCTTACTGAAAAGAACTTGAAAATGAGACTTGTTTTGAAGAATGGGACATGGGAGACGATTTATGAGATACACAGACGTACGAATGCAATCAGACCAATAAATCAAAAGGATATTAGACTGAAAAAGTAAAGACCGAGCAACATTTAAAATATGTTGGTGTTTTCGCTCAACAACAGAGTTTTGTTGTGGGCGATCAACACAAGAACAAAAAGAAATGATGCCATTGGTGCGGAAAAATGAGTCAAAATTAAACTCAGGAGCATTATCAGAGCGCACAGATTTTATTTTCTTGTTAAATTGTGTGAGAACAAGAGAGTAAAATTCAGGAAATATATTGACAACATCAGACTTTGAACGCAGAAAATAAACCCATGTGTATCGACTACAATCATCAACAATCGTTAAAAAATAACGAAAACCTTCAATGGACAAATGCGAAAAAGGACCCCAGACATCCAGATGTATTAAATCAAAAGTAGATTCTGACAAATTGTTATGAGAAGGGAAAGATAAACGCCTCTGTTTAGAAAGAGGACAAACAGTACAAGATGAATTACAATGAGTTGAAATAACTGGTAAATTTAAAAAAGACTTCAAAAGGGATAGACGGTTGGAAGAAGGATGACCGAGGCGGGTATGCCAAAGGGAAAAAGTAGCTTCAACAGCACATGCAGAAGCAAAAACGCGAGGAGACTCATGAAGAACATAGAGATTTCCAATACGATCAGCAGTCCCAATCGTGTGGGAGTTCGAAGGATCCTGCAAAACACACGATGAAGCAGAAAAGGTGGCAGATACACCAAGAGCAGCAGACAAAGCACTAACAGACAGGAGATTATAGTGAAATTTGGGAACAAACAAAACTGGAAAAAGGGTAAAACCTTGAAAAGAAACACAACCTACACGAGGTACAGTAATGGTGGTACCATCAGGAAGAGAAACGAAAAAATTAGAAATTAATTTTGTGGAAGTAAAAAAATAAAGATTACAGCATACATGATGGGTAGCCCCGGTGTCCAAAATCCAAGAGGAACGAGAAAGAGTAGAAGAAATACCAGTAATATTGGCAACAGATGGAGATGAAGAATCATGGTCAGAGGATGCAGATGGGGATGTCGTTGTCGGTGAGATGTGGGTGGAAATCAGGGAACATATTTGGGAAAGCTGATCAGGAGTGAGAGTGAGGGGATTAGATGGATTGGGCTGAGGTGTAAAAGGCCCATTATGGGGGAAAGTGGCAGCAAACAAATGGGCTTGATTCAGATGGGTTGGATTGTCCATGGGCTTGGTGCGACTTCTGTACCCAGGCGGAAAGCCGTGCAGCTTGAAGCACTTCTCGATGGTGTGGCCTTGCTGGGAACAATGGGTGCAAAAAGGACGATCATGGCGAAGTCTGGACGGTCCGTTGGTGGCATTCACAGCAGGAAGGAGCTGAAGATCAGAAACAGGAAATGATGCCGGCATGATGGAACGTTGGCGTTCTTCCTGGACAACTAATGAGAAAACCCGGCTGAGTGAAGGAAGCGGTTCCATGAGAAGAATTTGAGCTCTGGTTGCAGCATAAGATTCGTTCAGTCCCATGAGGAATTGAATGGAGGAATCTTGCTCCTGGTACTGGTTGAAGGTGCGAAGGCCACCGCAATTACAGGTTGGGACCGGTTGAAACTCACGAAGGCCATCCCAAAGAGTTTTCAACCGAGTAAAATAAGCGCTGACATCCAGAGGTCCTTGTCGAAGAGCAGCAAGCTGAGATTTCAATTGAAAAATGCGAGGAGCATTGCTTTGCTCGAATCGATCACGGAGATCTGTCCAAATGCCACTAGCGGTGGGGATATAGAGAAGACTGTCAGCAATATCGCGATCAACAGCATGAAAAATCCAAGATGAAACCATGCTGTTGCAACGAACCCAGGAAGAGTAAAGTAAATCATCAGTAGAAGGAGGAGATAAGGATCCATCAACAAAATGATACTTGTTCTTGGCTTGGAGGGCCATGATCATGGAACGACGCCATGTATGATAGTTGGCCCCAGAAAGAGGATGAGCAACTAGAACAAGACCAGGGTGGTCAACAGAATGAAGAAAGAAAGGACTGGACAAATCATCGGCAGAGGAATCAGAACCCGTAGCAGCAGGGTTCTTGCCTCTAGCCATGAGGAAAAATTTCTTTAATCTGATACCATATTACAATGAATAAATTGCAGAGAAGAAGGATTGGAAGAATATTTGTATATTCATTGATTGATCTGAACAGTATACAAAACACCTATTTTATACAACGAAGGAAAAATTCTAGAAGCTTAAAATAACAAACTCAGCTAAGAAATTCTAACAGAATCAATGAGTCAGCCACTCTAACAGAATGGTGCACAACACTATACACGTCAGCTACAGCTACTACATTCTAGAAGCTAAAAAATAAAAATACAATAAAAAACTTATATTCCTAAATATCTGTAATCAAAATTATTTATATGGACTTTGGCTTGCCACGTTATGTTTATCCTTTCAGTATATCACCCAGAAAGAGACAAGAACGGCGCTAACTGCATATGATCAGGTGATATCATCCATTCGATCACTAGAAGTACTGTTTATCCCCAGCTAGCTATTTATTAAGGAAAATATTTTCATTATTCCCCACTCAAACTCAATACATCTTTTATTAAAGATGAAAAATAAACTCCCCTAACATTATCTATTATTATTATTTTTTTCAATTAATGTCATAACTCATATGAATTCATTTTTTATTATTTTTAGTAAAGTGGTTCCCAATACGGAGTACTACAAAATGCTCCTATTTAAGAGCTACTGGAATATTGCAACCCAAGCTTTCAGATATTTCCTTTCTTCAGCTTAGATTGCACTTACCCTGTAGTTTTTCTTAATGGGAAAGCCTTCTACTGTGCAACGCTCACTTGTGCATTTCTGGGTTCTCCTTGTGCTAGTTGTCAGCTTCTGTTACGCTATATCTGCTGCAGCAACAACTGAGGTTTCAGGTTTGCGTGACTCATCCCCACAATCTTTTTTCTTTTATCATATATAGTACTAAGGAAAGGGCATTGAACGCTGAAACTATACATATATACATAGATCGGGTTGGGAAGAAGATTAAAAAAATTCCCTTTTTTAGAAAGTATTTTTTATAACGAATAATACATATAAATTATCTGTATTTATTCTCAAAATAACATTATTTTAAAATTTAAAAATTAAATAATTATAATTATAAAGATTATAATTATTTTGAAATAAATTATAATTACAAAAATATCATAATTTTCGCCCAAAACAATGTCGTATTAAGCTTACTGCAGATAAGTTGTATGCAATAACTACAAAAAAATGAACTCTTTTTATAATTAGATTTTTAAAACAATAATTAGTTTTTTTAAAAAAAATATGTGACTTTTGACTTTTGTTTTGTTTAGAAATTAAAAATTTTAATTTCAAAAAAAAAAAAATTTTTGTTTTTTTATTATTTCTCTTTTTGTTTTTTTTTTAAAAGAAGATATTCAAATAGATTTTTTTAATAAATATTATTTTTCTTAAAAAAATCAGTGTTTGAAGAAAAAAAAATCATCCAAATCGGCCTTATATCCGTTTTTAACGTGCACATAGAAGTATGTTCCTATTAGATACTGAGAAATGAATACCTATTCATGGATACAAAATTCGTGACCACAATTTTGAGGAAGGAGAGAGCAGCTTGCTACTGAGTCACACTCAAGCTTATTTTACATCACTATAAATTATATTATTTATGATTTTATTTATGGAAATAGTTATATTTACTATTTTTTTTATAAATTCAACTATGTATTTTAAGAAATATATTTACTCATATGTATATTTTCTGAAATATATAATTAAGATTGTAAGAATTTGTAAAAAAAATAAAATTATAAACATAACTTGACTCTTTATTTATATCTAAATACTTTAATTTTTTAATTATATGAGTTATTGAATATAAATAAATCAACAAACAAAAATAAATAATAATACATCATCTTATTGTAACTGTGTAAGAATATCGTACCGCTTATATAGAAGTGTGAGATGTATAAATTATATTCTTTTATATTTCTTGTGCAGGGAAAGAAATGGACTCGGGTAAGTATTTTTATAATCATGGTTGGCCAAAGGCAAGGCTAGAAGATGAGGAAGAAGCAAAATCTGAACAAGTTTTCCATCCCAAACCAACATTCAAGAGGCCGTATTTCAAGAAACCGAGTACAACTGTTAAGAAGCCACCCAAAGCTCTCCAACCTGCCCCAGTTGTGAAGGGGCCAACTTTCCCCCACCACCCTCCAAAACCACAAGACTCTATGGTTCCCTGAAGTTTCTCATGCTTTGATAAGTGATCAACCGTTCCATTTCTAAAGCACCTATATCAATCCATGCCTATATCTCTAGATAACTTACGCTTGTATAATCCTATACGTTATCCTTCTTGTGTTATTGTATTGTAATATATATATAGCCGATCTGTCTATTCGCCTAAATAAAATTCACGATACAGCAATTGTGAATATATTATGTTACTCAGAGAATGATAAGGATGATTTTCTGCTTTTAGTTTAAGGGTTTTACAAGAGTTATGTTGTAGGAAAAATAATTGTGTTACATTATAGAAATTTGTTTTGCGTGCCGTAATTTTTTTTTTTTTTTTTTTCTTCAAAACATGCGGGTCCCACAAAATGTTGTGTGTGTAAGAAGTTTTTTATAATCATGTTAAATGATGAATACAAACCCTTAGTTTAATTAGTAGTTTTAAGTTGTGTTCCTGTTTTATCATTTTCGTTTGATCACAATAAGAGCAAGGATATTTCTGAACTTCATATTGACTCTTGAATTTTAAACCCTTTATCGGAAATTTTCAAACTAATCAATTTTTTACAAGTTTAGCCGCAATCGTAATTACAAATGCTACAAATTAAACAAAAGAAAAATTGCTATGATAAAAAAAAAAATTTATCATCTAAAGAAATATGCTTAACATAAATTATCAGTGAAAATTCATTGGTACTTTTACTGGTGATGAATAATAAGTTGGAAATGGAGGAATGAAAGGGATGAAGAAAGTGAGTTTTAAAGAGTCATACATATTAAAGAGGAGGAGGAGAAGGCGTTATAAGGTCTGATCTCGTTATTTGTTGAGTAGTAATTTTTTAAAAGAAAGAGTATCGTTTTAGGGAACAGTATGAAGTATTTTTTATTTATTTTTCTGAATTAAAAATTCTGAAATTGAAATTTAATTGATTTTTTTTAGAACAAGAAAGTTTTGTAGTCTTTATCAATTATCAAACTAATGTAAAAAGTAAGAATTGATTTATCAATGTTTAAAAGCTTCTGAGTATATCAAAAAATCATGGATGACAAAAATATTTGCAAACTGCAAATTCATACAGTGCTACAGCGAGTTTATCTCAGTTTCTGAGTTGCACGACAAGTTTAGTTGAAACTTTCCAGAATCAACATTAAGGTTCAAGAAAAACTTTTCCCAAAGCTTCTTGAATCTTCTTCGAAAATTAGATCAAAAATCACCTTTGATTATCTCTAATCCAAAAGGGTTCATTCGACACTTAACAAAAATTCATTTCCAGATTTCTTTTTGTTGAAATACTCAAGTTTCATTCCCATGAAGTTCTTGAGTTGAAAAGTGAAAGAATCAAACGAATGAGATAAAGAAACAGTAGCAAAGAACATCAAAAATTTATCCAATCATTTTTATCATACCCAAAAAAGAAAAGAAATTAGAAACCCATATTCAGATAACGAAAATCAAAGATTAAAGAAAACAGAAACATGCATTAAAAGATAAACGCAGAAGATTTGTTCAACATAATACCAATCCTAAACTAGAGCAGGATCTTGAATCTCTACTTGCATGCACCTCCTTTGATCCTTTCTTCTTCAGCTTGTCAATGCTTGAGATTCTGGATCTTGAAGATTTCAAGGAGTGAAGAACACACGAGTTTTCTAAATTATGAAAAAAATAACGAAGATTGAAATTTTTCTCTAAGTCTCTCGATCTAAAAATCTGATATCTATTCTATTCTATTTAACCCCAAAAATTAACTAAAAACTAAATCTGAAAACTTTTCATCAGTGGTCGTCCATTCTTCTTTCATCCAATGGTCATGAATTGATCCTTCCAATTGAAACTGATCCACATCCACGTGTCTGCTTCATTTTTTCTTCTCAGCTTCTCTTTTTACTCTTTTTTTTTTGCTTGGGCCCTTTTAATCTCTTTTGGCCCATTTACCTGCGATATCACTTATTAATAACCCAAAAAAAAGATATAAAGTAACATAAAATAATATAATAAATATATATATTTTGGTGCTAACATATTCTAGATTGCCCTTTGGGGTATCCCACTTTTGTAAAGGGGAAGAACCTAGGTGAAGTGTGGTTCACTACGTGTGCTTGTTGCGATTACGGTAAGTATACCGATTGTTTTAAATAATAAAATAGTCAGAAAGAGTAGGATTAAAGCATATAACTATTTTCTTTAATTTGGACAATCCAATCTGATTTAGAGAATAAATTTTGAATAAAAATAAAAATAAAAGAACAAAACTTAATTGCAATAAAAATCAAGAACATGCAACAACACAAATAAAAAGTATGATTGAAGATTACCAAAAAAAAAAATATGATTGAAGAAACTATGATAAAGAAATGTAGTTAGGGCACACTTCACCTTTGATCCCCCTTATTAATCTAAATTAATTCTTATAATCAATTATTTAATTATTCAGACTATTCATCTTTTTTAAATTAATTGGTTAAATTCTAGTGTCTTAATGTATTTAACTCTTTAACCCAATTAGAATTCTAATGTCTTAGTAATCCTTTTTGAATTAAACATTAAGTTCAATGAATTAAGAAGTCTGCAATTTATACAAGTCTATGTCTAGATCATGCACAAATTATTATTTTACCCCAATCAGAATCAAAATCTCAATATGTCTATTATGAGTCCTAACCCTCAAAATCCTATAAGAGTGATCAGTTCTAATAAGTATATAAAATTTTCATTCAGGGTAAAATAAAACTAATTGAAATAAAAGAATTATAAAAACAATTTAAATATCAAAAGGTTTCACATCGGATCCATGACCCTAACTGCAAAAGAAAATCAGCCAGACATAGCTGGCTTAAACAAAACAAAGAAATAAAAAGAAGAAGAAGAAGTCGTGAAGAAGAAGAAGAATCAATGTTGCTCAATCACTTTCAAGCTCCTCTCTCTCTCTGAAATCTCCAACTCTGGTATCCGGTATTCTCTTCCTTCCTCTGAATGCCCTTGCCTTCATTGTGTTTCCAAGAGTTGCCTTTAATGGAGAGCATACACCTCCTAAAGGCGGAACAGTGACCAATTTGCCACTGTTCATCATAAAATTTACCAAAATACCACGCGCACAGTAAAAATTCCCAAACTGCCACACAGGCTAATTCGCTACACAGTGTAGCGAATTAGGGCTGATGATGTGTCACGTCCTCACTGGTCCACGTATTTTGCTACACAGTGTAGCGAAATACGTGGTCAAAAGGTCAGCCTGGTCAGTCACCTTTTGGACACGTGTCAAGCCACCCATATTTCGCTACACTGTGTAGCGAAATACGTGGCAACGGTCACCTGCTGCCCTGCGCATGTCAGACACGTGGCAGCTTGGCACTAATTCGCTACCTTGGGTAGCGAATTAGGTGCAATTTTTTTCCTATATAAACCCACGGTCCCCACCCCTCCCCCCACCATTTCCTCTCATCCTCTCCCTCCCTCCCTCTCTCTCTAAGTGCATTCTCTCTCTACAAGGTTAGTAATTTGTTTTATTGCTTTTATAATATGTTTGTTTCATTAATTATATTTTTTTTATAAATAGGTTATATTATCTTATATTTATACTTTAAACAATAGATTAGTAAATATGTTATATTATTTAGTGTTTAGGCTTGAAACTTTAGGTTAGTAAATATGTTATAGTATTTAGTGTTGATACTTGAAACTTTAGGTTAGTGAATGTGGTATATTATTTAATGTTGTTATTTCCAACCTTAGGCTAGTAAATGTGATAATTTTAAATCATGCATAAATGATTAGTTATAATTTATTTAATTTATTATTTAAGCTTTAATACATGTGTAATGTTATTTAATTTTGGTTTTTGATACCTTAGGCTAGTAAAATGTGTTAATTTTTTTTTGGACATTACAGGGAATCGAACCGCACACCTAATACACCCTAAACACACCCAACACCACTAGGCTATCCCTAGTGGTGCAGTAAAATGTGTTAATGAATTCCATGCTATAATGCTTAGGATAATATAAATAAATTTTTTTATTTATGCTGTAATATTTTGTGAATATTATTTAATGTTGGTATTTGAAACGTTAGGTTAATAAATGTGTGAATTTATTTTACGCATGAATGAATGATTAGGTCTACATAATTAAAAATTTTGCACAAAATATATAAACCTTAATAATTTATAAATTTAGATTTTGGGTTTAGGGTTTTAAAACCTTAGGCTAGTAAAATGTGTTAATATTATTTAATGTTGGTATTTGAGCCATTAGGTTAATAAATGTGTTAATTTATTTTACGCATAAATGAATGGTTAGGTCTACATAATTAAATTTTTTAATTAATTTATAAACGTTAATAATTTAGAAATATTGTTTAATTCTTAAAATTTTGAAACCTTAGGTTGGAAATTATGTGAATCTATTAAGTTATAAAATTGTAGGTTTAATTAATTTAATTTATTATTTATGTTTTAATACTTATTTCATTGTTAGTTACTATTGATCTTAGACACGATAGGTTATCAATTTATTTTAATTTAGTTAAAGCAGAAACTTAAATGGAGAAAAACCTTTGAATTGTGCTTTTATTAATTTTATTTATTTAGCTAAATATTCATGAATTTTTGGTTGATGAATATTAATTTAATTGTTTTGTATTAATTTATTTAGATATGGAGCATGATGAGGCACCTCGTCCTAGGTCTCCACGCAGCGTGATTGACCCTGGGCCTTCAGACAAGACTCTCCTAACTTTACAGGAGAAACATATATCCACACATGTGTGGAACACCTGTGAGGATCCGAATGTCCCGTATCGTGTGATTAATGTGCGACATGCTGCGACACATGATCACCGTGCCATTCCTGAAGAGATTGAGCCATGGCTGAGGCAGGTTGGCTTCTACCATATTGTGCGCCTGCGCAATCATGAGGTTAGTAGTTTTTTATTGTATCACTATATCCTGACTTTGACATATGGCATTGTGATAATAATATATTTATTGCTGATTGACCACATATTTTTTTATGATTTCAGATAGATCATTCACTTGTGTCTGCGCTTGTCGAGCGATGGCGCCCAGAGACACAGACATTTCATATGAGGATGGACGAGGTCACCATTACCCTGGAGGATGTACATCATCTACTAGGATTGCCCACTGATGGTGAGGTTGTGTCCGGGCGCCACGGACGACATCCATTTACGCAGTTAGTCAATGACTACTTAGGCGTAAATCCACAGGCTGGTAGGGATTTGTCTG